AGCTGCCTCTCGACCGTCGTCCAACGTTGCTGGCCCAGAACGTTCAGACATGCCGTTAGGAAATAGTATGGCGGTGGGGGTGACGGCACGCAGCCTGGACGGTTCCAGTGTCGGCTTCTTGCCGGCTTTACATATTGACGTTCCCTTGGCTTGGAATGCAAGGGTGCCCGCGTTGAAGCTCGTAGGGACCTGTATCGATGACAAAACAGTTCGCGTAGCGCAATCCATCGCGAGGATTTGTTGAATCCGAGTCAATTTATCTGAAAAATCCGAGTGAGTCGAAATAGGACCGGGAGGGGCTCCGTTGGCATGTCCTGCCGTGTGTTTGGCAACGGCGATTTCAGTGGCTTTGGCGTCTCTGCAATCACCATCACCAAACACACCACAGGACATGCCAATACCACCCATCGTCGTCCGCTACGTGGTGGTGTACCGGTATCGTCGTCGGGCGTCAACCGACGTCTGCACACTATTTCCGTTCATCAACCTGCACTCTTTTGAAGTACAGTGTAGAAAGGGATATTCGGGACTTCGCGGAGCTTCATGGCAACCTCACGTCAACGGCAACGTCGTGTTGACGTTGCACATCAGTAGTCAAGATGAGTCTTTTGCGCCAAGCCGCCGGTGCCATCGTCGCCACGACCGTCGCCGCCGCCGTCGCGCTCCCGACTGGGCTCGGGCTCTACGCCGCCTTGGCGTTCGGTATCAACTGGACTGTCGTCCTCGTCCAGGCGATTCCGATGCAATCCGAGACGTTCTTTGACCTCACGGGCACGCTCACGTTTGTGGTTGTCTCGATCGTCGCCAGCGTTGTCCACGCCAACGCCGACTCGTCGCCGGCTGCGCTCGCCCGCGCCACGCTCGCGTCGGGCCTCGTGCTGATCTGGTCGCTGCGCCTTGGCTCGTTCCTCTTCTTGCGTATCCACCGCACGGGCACCGACGACCGTTTTGACGTGATCAAGACCAAGCCGGTCCGGTTCTTCTCGGTCTGGACGCTTCAAGGCCTCTGGGGCTTTGTGACACTGCTGCCGACGCTGCTTCTGCACACGTCGGCAGTGCCGCAGTCGGCGCACGTGCAGACAACCGACGTTGTCGGCGTCACGCTCTGGCTCATTGGGTTTGCGATCGAAGTGATGGCCGATGCGCAAAAGAATGCGTTCCGGGACCAGTACACAGGCAGCGCCAAGTTCATCTCGACCGGCCTCTGGCGCTACAGCCGCCACCCCAACTACTTTGGCGAAATTCTGCTCTGGATCGGCCTCACTATCTTTTGTGGCGCCCAGCTCGCGACGACAGGAGATGTGCTCGTGGCCTGCATGAGCCCGCTACTTGTGACGCTGCTCTTGACAAAAATGAGCGGTATCCCACTCCTCGAGGCGAAGGCCGACGCCAAATGGGGCGCGTCGCCGGCGTACCAGCACTACAAGCGCTCGACCAACGTGCTTATTCCGTGGTTTCCGTCGTCGGTGACTGCCACCGAGACGACACCGCTGACGTCCAGCAAATAGTGGGCACGACATTGGACACTTAACAAGTGTTACTACAGGTGTTTGTGATGAAGTTGCGTCGTTGTGTCATTTTTAATAGTGCGATAGCATACCGGTAGTCTTGCTTTACAGTTAATTTATGTATGGCACACATTGTAGCAATAGCACCGCTTGTATACTCGAGGAAAAGCCGCGCCACTGTGTGTTTCGCGTTACCTTTGTTGTAGTATAGAGTTCGCATACGTAGAGCACGTTGAGGTACTCAAGAGACGCCAGCGACTGAGGCGGCATCAACGACTAGAGGTCGCGGTGCAGGACGATCGGCAGCGTGATCTTGATGCAGTCTATAAAACGGGGCGCCTCAGGGGCGGCAAAGAAGCGGGCGGCGGCGATGCTGGCAGGGACTTCGTCTCTCATGCGCAGCACGTGGCCCAGCTGACGCCGGCGCTGGCGGGCAACGATCTCGCTCAGCGGGACGCTGTTGCAGCGGTCGTACAGCGCGACGTCGCCGAGCGTGTTCGGGTGAAAGTTACTTATGAGGCGGCGCAGCTGCCGGTGATGAAATCTGTCAAGGTCCGCAAGACTCGGTGGCGTCATTGGTGCAAAAATCGTTATGTATTGAATGAAGCAAGGGTATTGTAGGGCAGAATTGTTGAAAGGAAATGGTCTCACGGCATGCCTTCACTTGTGTCGTCAGTGTCGCCGAGCTTGCGGGCGGCCGGCTGCTGGTACGCGCCATAGACCCCGACGTTGACACCGGGCGCCGGGCTCTTGTACATGGACGGCGTCGGCGATGTCGACCGGTCACTTTCACCGCACCACGTGTAGGTCGCACCGTACGCCAGCTGGCTCGTGCACTGTGCTTTCGTCCACCCGCCCATGCAGGAACGGACCCCATTGCCTAGGTCGGCGTTGCAGTTGTTGCAGGTCCCCGCAAAGCAAAAGCCCGTCGAGCAGGCGCACGCCGCCAAGTTCAAGACCGGTGCAGGCGTTGCTGGCTTGACGCTGCTGTACGGTGACGATGTCGCAGGTCGCGGCGCCAGCGTCGTTGCTGATGGCTTTTGGTACGGGGCTGGTGTCGATGCTGGCTTTGGGGCTACTGACTTGGGGACATTGGAGATCGGCGGTCGAGTTCCGTAGGACGATTGCGTCGCCGGCGTGGCGTACGGCTTGGGTGCTATCGTCGTCGGGCTTGTTGTCGCATACGGCGCTGTCGTTGCAGGCTTTGTAGAGCTCGTCGTTGCTTTCGGTGTTTCGGTTGCCGGCGCCTGCGTTCTGTAGGGTGCCGGTGTCGACGGCTTTGGATCGACCGTTGTTGACTTGGGCGCCGCCGTCGTAGCCTTCGGTGCCGGGGAAACAGACACAGGTGTGCTGTACGGAGCCACTGTCGTCGTCTTTGGGGAGACCGTCGTTGTCTTCGGGACTGCCTGTCGTGGCCTTGGGAGCATTCGTAGGTGGCACTGGTGTTCCATAAGGTGCCGACGTCAACGACTTCGGGGCCACTGTCGTTGCCTTAGGCGCCGGTGTCGTCGCCTTCGGTGCGACGGTTGTTGGCACTG